ATGCTTTCCAGTGCATTCCAGACAAAATAAGACTAACAGTATTTTTGTGGTCTGGAACGGACTGCGCTGGTGTGAACAGAGGCCAGAAATAGCATAGGGATACATTAGGGTGCATTTTGGGTCCGGAAACAGTCTGGTCTGGAGATGATGTGGTGTGAATGGGCCCTTAAGTCAAGTTTTTGTACATGAAGCCAGTTTTGTGTTAGAATTAGGCAGATTTTAGCAGCCAGACTGCCAGTGCGCCGATTTACAGTGTCACCTAAACTTTTTGGGCATTTGTTTTATTGCTTATGAAGAGAAGGTTACCCATGACTTCCTTAATCATTGCTTGTTCCTAATTTTGACCCAGGTAATTGTGCCCAGGCTGTTGCTGTAACTAGGCTTTATTCCACTTTACGGCATATAGTTGTTTTTACATTTTTTTTTGACCATCAGTGAGAATGATGTAAACATTTTGGAAAGGGAGTTTGTTTGCGATGCTGTTGTGGTGATGTAATTCCTTTTACTGTTCTGTAGGTCAGACCCTGGTGAGATAGGCTAGCTGCAGGTCATCAGACTATCATCATGGCCACATGCCTTTGGAGGGGGTGCTGGAATTGTAGTGAACATGATAAAAGTACAATGGAGAAGTAAGATAACGCTGAACTAGGCAGAGAAAATTCTGACTGGGCTTCCCCCCCCTTCATTTTTTTGAAAGTCGCTGAGCATTTTTGTGGACTTCATCTTTAACATGCGTAGATGCTGTCTGCTAATTTTCTAGTGAAGAATATGTAGACTTTATATATTCTTTTCGTTTCATTGCAACCTCTCAGGGGCAGGGTCCTTCTAACCATCTTATTTCAAATTATATTGTAACTGTAATGTCTTCCTAATATTGTAAAGCGCTGCGCAAACTGCTGGAACTATATAAACCCTGTATATTAATAATTGATAGATTTCTATATTTCCCATTGTACAAGGATGATGGCTCGCTCACACGTATGATGTGTATATACAATAGTGCTGCCTTGTTGGATGCAGTTTTACCTCTCATTAGTGCAGGTTTAATGCATGTTATTATTTATTATACAGTATAGCACCAACAGTTTGCGCAGCGCTTTACAATATAAAGGTCCCCACACACCTTACCATAATTGTACGAAATCCTGCGATCGTACGATTATTGTAAGGTGTGTGGAAGCCGTGCGATCTCTACTACTGTAAGGTCGCACGACTTTAAGCTTACGAACATGTTTCAAAACCCGCCGAGCATCGTACGATCGGCGGGTGTGTAGCATGTTCGTGAGATAAAAGCCGGTCTGGCTGGTGTGCACAAGAGCACACTGCCCGTTCGGCATTGCGGTCATCAGGGGGCCCTCGGGGCGTGGCTTGTGATCATCGCAAGTACGATCTGCCTATGCAAGATAGTCAGATCGTACGTTTTTTTAAGTACCTTACAACCATCGCAAGACAAAAGTCTTGCGCTGGTTGTAAGGTGTGTGCCCAGCCTAAGGAAGACATTACAATCACAATACAATTCAAGACAAGATGGTAAGGAGGGCCCTGCCCGTGAGAGCTTACAATCTACATTTTTCCAGATTGCACTGGACCAGAACATAGACATTGATTGCACTGGACCAGAACATAGACATTGATGTGCCACGCTTTCTGGTGCGGCTGCGGTGCCATTGACTTCAATGCCCCACCACCCCCCTCTCCCGCCCCTGAATGCAGGAAGCCAGCCGGCATGCGATACAGTGCGTTCCAGGAGCTGACCGCGCTGGAATGCACTGTATATGGTGTGGGCAAGCCCTGAGAATCTTGTTCATTCGAGGAAAAAAATTCCATCCCGCTCCTTTTGATTTTTTTTTTTGTCACTCTGGTTGAAAACGATTAGAAATTCCAATGCATGTTCCCGAAAACTAACTTTTTAGAACAAAATTCTACTGGTGTATGGCCATATACAGAGTTTTTGTTGTATAACTAGGAAGGCGCTTGTGTGTATAGTATTGAGGGAGAGGTCGTCATATTCATCTCCAGTTGGAATCTCGACTCTCCCAGTCGTGGATGGTTTGAGAGGCGTTTCTCGGTGGATTGCCTCTATTGAGTGACGACTGAATGGAGTCTGTCCTGCTCGCTTCAATATATAATGGCGGTCTGATCGCAGCCTTTTGGGTCATTTCATAAGCACTCTTCATGGAGACGGCCAACAATGAGTTGTGACGGAACAATAGGACGCCTCTCTTGTTTTGTATGCGCTCTTGTCTTCTTAACCCATCTGGCTGCTGGAGAGATTGGCCTTTTATCCCTTGTCGGCGTCTTCAGTGATGTGTCAAATCTTACATACATCACCATAAATCCAATAATACAGAAGTTCTGCTATTTGGAAAGGACCTGTGCTGTGTCGGATCAGATTTTACTGTATAGAAGCACAATCGTATAAGGTGGGAAAACCCCTTTACAGGATCTGCCTAAAGCTGAAATACTGCTAAATACACAAGTGAAACCCAATCCCAGGTGTATAAAAAAGCATGGCGTTGCCCATAGCAACCCAATCCGGAAATAGCCGCACTCCGCACGCGTTCACCGAAGATAAAAATCTTTATTTTAGGAGCAAATACCTATGGTTTGTTCCTCCCCATGTGTGGCCAACCCCTAACACGCTTCACTGAGTAAGCCAGAATGGTGAAACGTGTTGGGATTGACCACACATGGGGAGGAACAATTAAGATTTTGGAGTGCAGCTATTTCTGGATTGGGTCGCTATGGGCAACACAGTGCTTTTTAAAAAAAAAAAATTATTATACACTTGGGATGCAATCGTAGTGCAAGCTGGTTCTGGAATTTGAGCGTTGTTTGCTGTGGATTATTTATATGTGGCGGCTTTCTAACCTGCCAACAGATTGTATTTAGGCCTTATCCACAGATTTACACAACCCTGCCACTGAGCACAGCCAGTGGTGAAATATTTGCCATGTATGACCGCATTAAGGCAAAACCTATGCAGGGAAAGCAACAGGTACACTTTCAGTCCCCCCCCAGCTGTCCATACTACCCTAGTCAACATTTACACAAGGCTATGGACTGTCCCCATGTGACAGCATTGGTTCTTGGTGAATGGCCCAGCACTGTCACATGGAGCGAGTTGCATACATTTCATTAGTGGGAGTACCTGGTGTATTCTTCATTCTTGGTGACCAATTAGGGGGGGGGGGTTAAAGAAAAAATCAGTGTGCAGTCTGTTGCTGGGCCAATTCATGTGGCCACCTTGAGTTAGAAAACATGTCTTTGCTATGATCTACCTGGGAGTCGGTAGCGGCAGAATCCCCCTGCGCTATTCTCTTCCTTTTATCTAGTGAGACAAACAAACAGGGTGGCCAGCCGATCGCTTGTGTACATGGAGTGCTTGCAGGCAGCAGAGAGCGGTTGAATTTTACCCGCACAGCCAACCGTCCTCCTTTATTCATGGTACCTTTGTACAGCTCTGTAACTTTAAACTCCAGGCAGAAACAAATGCCAATGAATGCAGTAATGTATTTTTTAAAACCACATTTAGGGTCCGTTCACCCCAGCCTGTGTGCAGTACGGTCCGTATAACGCGCTCGCTTTGGGGTGCATTGCATGGGAGCAGTGGTAAAACGCGGCATGCTGTTACTGTTTTTTTTCCCCCCTCAAACTTTATTGAAATGTCATTAATGGACACTTCATTTAACTCTTTGCGCAACAAGTCATTGTGATGCTCTGTGGTGCATTGTAATCCGGCATTTTTTCTGCTGCATTTTTATGCAACGCACACCAACAAACCTATATGATGTGGACACCGCACAGAGCGAACAGTTTGTACCGGGTGTTCTGGTGAGCCCTAAATATATTTGAAAATGCAGCTAATGTAAGTACCCGAGTTTGCCTTGATTAGTCTGTTGCAATCCTTTGTGCAGTAGCACTTAGGCTCCGTTCACACCACGGCGTATCGTGAATGTGCGTCCCATGTTCACAATACCTGTACAATTGTAGAACGTGCTTCAGTCGCATGTGAGAACGCGTGGGGGAAAACGTGTGGAATGCATGTCACTACATTTTACTACTTTTCTGCGAATTGACACTCATCAAGGGACCCAATGGGGATCAATAGGAGGCAGCACTTAAAACAAGTCAGGTGTGTGCTGCATACACATGAGTGAACGAGGAACCTTCTGATGGGGACAGAGCAGAGAGATGACCTGCTCAGTCTGTTGCTGCTTCTTCATCATAGGCTGCAGGCAGGGAGGTGACCTGGCTGTGTTGCACAACTGCAGCAGAGAAAAGTCATCTCACTAGACTGGCTGTCTGTCGGTCTGTCGGTCTGTCTCTGTCTGTCTCTGTCTGTCTCTGTCTGTCTGTGTCGGTCTGTCGGTCTGTCTGTCTGTCGGTCTCATGATCCAGTAGACAAAAATACGAATCCTTTGTTTTGCATTGCAATGGTGTCTTTACCAGTTTGCATGCAGTTGAGCTTTTAACATTCCAGGACTGCTATGTGTAGCTGTGATCAGTATTACAGTGGACTATCTGTTCTGCCCACTCCATGCATCTATCATGCAGTGTGTCTGTTTACATGGGGTATGTACTTTCTGTGGTAACCCAGTGCCAGTTAATGAATTGTTCAACATACAGATTATTATCTCCGCTGATAGAATTTGCAGAATGTGGGCTTGTTTTCAAGGGGGAAGGGACGCGGGGCAAAAGGTCAGTGCCGAGCCAGTGTAGCAGCTGCTGCCTGAATGTAGTACTATGTACATGGCTGATGTGAGGAATGATTCCCCCCACACTGGGATGGAACAAAGGGGATGTCCACTGCTGAGGTCCTCTATACTGACATAATACGTCTATCATCCAGTAAATGGCTCTTCAAAACGATTTCATTCATTTTCTGGTTTTCTATATTGCGATGATTAATCTCCATCATGTTCACGTTTAGTTTGCTTGTTTAGTTTTTTCTATTCTGATAATAGTGCAGACTTTAATAACGCATGTTTCCAATTCAGGTGTCCAAAAACAAAGATGGGTGCGATCAGAGCGAGATGGTATCGCCGACGGAAGAGGAAATATTCTCCTGGCCCGGCCCAAAGAACGTTATTCTGAGGAGGACATCCGAGGGGTTTGGATTTACTTTAAGGCACTTCATTGTTTACCCGCCGGAGTCTGCAGTCCAGACAAATTATAAGGTGAGCAAGGTTGGGAGGAATCTGGTCTGTCAATTTACTAAAAGAGCTGAGGATCTTCCCTCAATTTATATGAATAGTCACTTCAGGTATCCAGTGATGTAAAAAGCAAATCCCTGTTCTCTTTGAATATCCGATCGCTTGGAGGTTACATAAGTAGACAGGAATTTGGTTTATTACGTGATTGGATTATTTATGTGACCACTCAATTTCCTTCAAGTGATGATTTCTACTTGTCATTTCTTTAGTAAGTCAGTCTCACCCTAAGGTCCTGCAACTTCTCTGACACTACAAGTCTCAGCATGTATAAAAAGAAAATAAATAAAAGAAAGCAATTTTATGTATATCTATCTATAGATAGAGATATAGAGTGAATATTATATTTACTATATGTGT